CTCATTAATAAAGTACTTGGTGCTTTCTATTGAAAGTACAACAGAGAGGAAGCAAACCCAGCCTCCACTGTGGGAGAACAGCCAAGAAAAAGACCCTCTCAGGTTGCCAGCAAGCATGCTTCTGAAGGCCTTGGTCTTGAAAGAAAGGCCACTCCAGAAGGTTTAAGAACTGGGCAAGCTCATATGAGGGAGAACTGTCTTTCAGGTAGCCTGGTCCCATTTAGGGCTTTAATCAGCCCTTTAATAATCAGCACTTCATATCCTGTCCTGAAACACAACAGTTATTAGGGAAGCTATTGTTACAAGGGAGTCATATGTTCCCTGTGACTGGATGAGCTGAAATTTCTAAGCAATCTTCTAAGGCAGCCCCATGGTTAGATCAAACACTAGTTCACACACTAGCATGAGCTGTGTAAATGCATTTCTGGCCCAAGGCATCAAGGTTAGGGCTAAATCTGAGAGTACACCCAAGCTGTGAGCCTGAGTCTTCAGGGGAAGTGTAACCCTGTCCAGTACCAGTTGAAATCCTATTCCTTGATCTGCTTTTTGAATGACCAAGGACCCTTCTGTCTTGCCTAGAGGGAACTTCAGTATTTTGCCTTCATCTAGTACATTGCCAGCATCAGGCACTGATTTAGAATCAGAACAGCCTTCTTGGATTTAGATGGAAAAGAGAGAGAGAATTGGTGTCATCAGAATACTGATGTCACTGAACTGCAAAACCTGTTAAATAGCATGGGGGGGGGGGTAACATGGAACCCCGTGGGACACCAAAGGCCTATGGCCACAGTGTCAAACAAGAACTCTCCAGCACCACCTTCTGAGATTGCCTCTCTAAGACTGGAGAGGAGATTGCCCATCCGAGGACCACATCCACAATATAACAATGCCTCCCAGTCCCACCTCAGACAGGTTCCTCAGAAGAATACCATGGTCAACGCCACCAAGAGGTCCAGTAAAACCAACAGGCACACTCAGGCACACACAGAGAGGGCTACTGAAAGATCCACCTCTTTTTCCTGTAGGGTAGAGCCTAGCAGGTCTCTGACCACCCAAGAAAGCTATGCTAGCTGACTGAGCAGATGCATTCTTTGCTTTAGACCATGTTTGACCATACCCATTCTGAGATTTCTGTCTAAGTCACTCTAGTTGCCAACCCGCCTGTTTCATTGCCTGCAGTGCCCCTGGAAAACAAGGTGGCTCATTTGGCTATTCTTTGGGGGAGAGCACACTCAGGAGCAATTGTACCAACCTCACGAACCATTTCTCCATTCCAGAGATGAACCAGAGCTTCAGCAGAACCTCCTGCCATAGTGACAGGAAAATCCCCAAGAGCCATCGGAAAGCTTTGAGATCCATCACTCTCTTAGGGTGAAGACTAAAATGCCCCCACCCTCCAACCACTGCAGAAGCTCTGTGCCCTAGCAAACCTAAAGTCCACCAGGTAGTGGTCTGTCCGTTATGACTGTTGTTTCGCATTCACCAAGATGGCAAATGCAGCATATATTTGCATACACACAAATCCCAGTCCAACAGAAATGGGTATACAGAAGCCTGCCTGAACACACTCATTGTTGTTAGCGATGGGTGGGCAGCTTCATGCCTACTCCAGAATGAATCTGGACTTTTGGACATTCTGTTCAGTCCTCAAAGGATTTTCACTACACTGTCATTATCTTCAGAGAGAGCCATAGTGAAAGTCGGGGGAGGAAGATAGGAAGCAGCCTTAGACTGAGTCAGAGCATTTGGTCCCCCTGGCTCAGTACAGTCCACACAGGGCAAGTCTGTACATCATGACAAGCTACCCTGGCAATAAGCTACTTTGGATTGGTTCTGAAAGCAACGCAAGATGTGCACAACTGATGATTCGGCTCAGCAGGAGTTGCTCAATCCCTCCCCTCCCCCAATTTCTCCCAAGTACTCAAAAGGCTCCATGGCCTGACCAGCTTGTCTGTTCCCTCCTGCCTCAGTCATGAACCCCTTTTCTCTTGCTGTGGCTTTTTTGCCCCTTGAACTTTTTTTTTAATAGTAAGATGGCAAACTCCAGTTTGAGAGCCAGTGTTTGTTGTGCCAGTGGCAGCAGCTGTCAAAACATAGATTATAGACATGGGCTGCCAAGCTAGGGCAAAGTTAAAGCAGCAAAGAAGCTGCAGCAAGCCAAAAACCCTTGAACTTGGCAAGATCCGCAAGCAGTTTTTTGCCACTTGTGCCAGACAGCTCACTGCAGGACACAGTCTGGGTTCACATGACAACTCCCTGTGGCTTGTCACCCATGATGGTGACATGTGAACTCAGTCCCTGACTGGCAGTGGCTCTCCTGGGTTTCAGGCAGGAATTTTTCTAGTCCTGCCTGGAGATGTTGAGTATTGAACACAAGATCTTCTCTATGCAAATGTGCTCTATGCTTTACGCGTGCAAAGCAGGTCCTGGTTGTTTGGTGGGCTCCTCCCATCTTCAGGAAAGCTCTCAACTGCTTCCCATCCATTCCTGCCCCCCAAGTTCGGTTCTTTTTTTTTCCTTTGTAAATTTTGTGAACTACCCATAAGCCAACATGGCCAGAGTCAGAAGGTTGGGGGTTGAAATCCAAGCTATCTAGAGATCTACCTCCTGCCCACATTTGCATTAGGGGATGTAAGCAAAAACAAGACTAAGACAGCCTGCTCACCGAAGACTATGTCTGCTTTAGATCAGCGTGTAGGAATTAGGGCAGCCTTCCTCATCCTTGGTGCCTTAATCTGGTGCTAAACTTATTGAGAATGATGGGACTTCATTCTCCAACACATCTGGAAGGCACCAGGTTGAAGAAGGCTGAATGAGAAAAAGGACCAGCTCAAATTCCAATCACACCACTAATTGTCATGACTGGGTGGAGGCTGATGGACATGCTGCATTGACTGTGTCAGGATAAGTGGCAAATCTTTGCTATGAGAAACCATTAGACATATCTTCCCTTTAATTTCATTCTACCTGGTATGATTAAAATAATGTATTTTTATCACAAATCTGGATTCATTAAAAAGATATATTGCAGATAATGATATACAAACAATGCCAAAGCATGTTTCTAATTACGTCAGTCTTCTTGCCAGAATAATTAGGATTGTTCCCAAGCTGAATCAAGTCACAATCTAGTGTCATTATATTAAATCTCGAGTGGGTATATTGGATCTACATAAGCTTTTGCTCTAATATTAGCCATAGAAGAAAAAGTGATAGATAATGAAGGCACAGGAACATGAGTGCCTGGAATTAACTTTAATCATTAGAGAAGTAATTGGGCAGGAGAACTGAAGGCAGGTAATGCCATGTACTGTGGCTACTGTGACATTTCTCTTAATCATGGAGATCTGGGGGAGATCTCCGTTTCTCAGGACCAGCTGATCTACTGAGAGTGGGAATCAGAGATACCAGCTGTCTTTGAAGGCAGTTTATAGGATGAAATGAACAAGTGTGTGGGGGACAATAGAAGAGCATCCAGTGCAATTTAATTTGAGCCTGCCCCTGAACAATGAAAAAAGAATTACAGTCATTTTCCTGCCACTCGTCTGTGTGCACTTGTGGCACCAAACCACAGGAACACAGAAGCTGCCAGAGATAAAGGATCCATCATGAAACTCATGCACTGAATCTCTGCCTACTCCAAACCTGCATGCAATATGTACAATTGTGCTCCTATCTGTAACGTTTCTGGGATCATTTCCTCGAAACATTGCCCATGCTAGGACCACTTCTCTCAGCATCTGGTTTGCTCTTGCCTTATAGCACAATCCTGCTCATAATTACTCAGAGGTGGAGAAATGCAGCCTTAGTGTTCCTATCAAAGTAGCTATTTCTAACAAGGTTGCTTTCTTTCAGGTTACACTATGACAGGCACAATCTAGTAACCTTCCCCCTAGTTTCTTCTTGAAGATTCTTAACTGTACAAGAACCCTATGCAGTCTAGGATAAATCTGAGGATGTTCACTACCCACACAGCTTGTGGATCACTGGCCTTATGGGTACACATAAGCACACATCCCTTTAATACAGAGGAGTTACTGATTTGGGGTGGATGGCCAAGTAATCCACTCCCAGCCTCCAATTCTCCATGAGCCATTCTGTGCTCTCAGGGCTGTTTTCCCATGCTGCCTGGCCCCCTAGAGAAATCCTCTAGTAGCTAGCTTTGGAGAGGTGGCAGGCAGGAGAATCCCATCTAAGATCAGAGACCCCTATCCAAAGTCCCTGGGAGACTCTTGAAGGGCCCTGGTTTGGGGGGGGGGCAGGGTGAAATCTGCAAAGCTTCCATAGGCCAGCTGGTGAATGCCCATCTGTTCAAATTAGGTGCACAGACCAAAGGTTCCCCTCTCTAGCTTTCATGAGAGACCTTTGGCTTCTGGCCAATATAGGCATGTAATAAAGAAGTAAAACAAATAGTCACAGTGTAACACACCATAAAATTGATTCTCATGATCTATTTTCTATCACAAGGTAGATGTTTGAATCCAACTCATGAGGGCCTCTCTTCCAACCTAATTTCATAGGACTGAGCTGAAAACAGGGTTTCATTATGTGAGGGCTCAGTCATGGCATGTTGAGACTCAGATGTGAAAGTTGAAGTAAAAATAGCTGAAGGTATTCCACAGCATTGCCCTTACCACTAAAGAACTATAGAAAGCCTTCTTGAAATATCAGGAGCAAGATCAGAAGGTAACATGTTTTGCTAAGTGAGAGCTCGCTCGCTCTCATTCCCTCTCTCTCCACTTTTCCTATTATTTCATTAATTGCTGGCAAGGAAGGGGGAAATGCCTCACATGCCTTACTTACATGCCTTACTACTGGTGTCACTGTCTCCTTATGTATGGCCATTTGAAACGGAAGGCACTTTCTGTGGGACTTCTACAAGAGACAAAAGATTAGTGAAAAATGTATACAGGAAGCATGAGGCCCGTGACAGCACGGTCATTTGGAATGACCCAGACCAGTGGATTCTAGTCCTACTCAGCTCCACCTGGAATTCTAGCACCCCAACCCTGTGAAACAAGCCTTACTTCCAGGTAAGTATGTTCAGTCTTATTAAAACCTTGAGACTCTATTCAGGAGAGAACTGAGTGAGATGGCATTTATTCAGACTCCGTTGATTCACTTCTGGCTCAGAGAAGAGCAACTTATGAGTGAACTGAGCACAAATGTGTCACCATTCTGAGTGGCCTTATCTTTTCTTGAAAATGTCACAGGCATAAACTGTGCCAATAACAAGCAGCTGAAAAGGGAAGATTCCAGGAGAAGTAGAATGCATGGCCTTGGTATGCCTCTCAAATCTCTCTCATCAGGCAGAAGAAAATTAAAGAGTCTCCTCTTGTTATCTTAGGAAAGGTTAACAGTTAATGAAGGCAAAGGGATCAGGACTGATAAGAACAGAAGCAGTGCAGAATACTGCAGCAGCACAGACTTCCTTTTTTAAGGCCCTAACAAAACACAATAAAAAGCATTATCACTGAAAGGTGCTCTGTTGGTTGTGGTATACTCAAATTAACCACAGAAAAGGCTGGAACATAGCACTAAAATCACAGTTTAACTCTGTGGGACTCCTGACAAAATCATTTTCTAATTCTCCTGCTTCTCCTGCTTGGATTGAATCACCCAAAACATTCCACAGCTAAGCCTTCACCTGAATTACCACAATAATAAATTGTACAGCAGTGGCAGCCAATGGGTTGCATCCAATGCAGTCCACGTGGCAATGGAAGTTAAACTGGTAGCCAAATAGATCCCCCCTGTCCCTTGTTGTGCCGCAGATTTGCTCTGTGTTCTCCCACAGTGGGTTTGGAGGTTTGTGGGGGCTGCAGCAGGGTGGAAAACAGGAGAAATCCCATTACATGATGTAGGGTGGAACCTAGCGTACAGAATTTCTGAATATGCCTCTTGAATTTATATTATTCAGGACACGCTTTGAGATTGTGGGTGTGGGTATGTGTTGGAGGGTGGGAAAAGTTCATAGGTGGTACAACATTTACCGTGAGAGTCAAATGGTTAGGATCTTGGATGTATTCCCTCACACATGTGCACACACACACTTCTTGAACTAGAACAGGATAGCTATAGCAGTGTTATCTTGAGATACAAACTAATTATACCGTCAATATGAATTATTCTTTGTGCCTTTGCCATGTTTATATGTCCCACAATGGTATTTAATGGCTTATAACAGAAGTGGTATGTACTGTTTGTAAGAGTAAGAGGTGTGTACAACCAGTCACTTGTCCTGAAAAGTAATTACACGTGTTCAGAACTCTGGGAAAGGGAAGAAAATGCTGTTCCTTGACCTCTGGAAATGAAATCTCTTGTTCTCAGTCAAGGTTTTTGCAGGATTTCAGCAGAGTGCTAGAAAATTAAAATTGGTTTAAATCCTCATGATCAGATTAACCAGGTTGTGAACTGAGCTGTTAGAAAACTCAACAGAGAGGGTAGATTACATTTCTATTTGTCCTTTAATAGCCCTATTTTAAAATTCTGATAGGCTGAAATTTGCTGACTTGGGAAAATATCTCATCTTGATGATCATCTAATACATTCTTTAAATGATTAAATAAATGCATGCATACTCAAACACTTTTCGTCAAAGAATCCACTCAGCTACTCCACCTCCACCACACTTACACTCATGCAGCGATGACTGCATTTGAAACCCTGCTTAAATTCGCTTCACTATGCCCTGACTTTATTTCACTCCCTTTACAACCCTATGACTTTGGGCACTTCCAGACAAGGCCTTTATCATGCCATCATCTTGCCTCATTCACCAAATGTTATGGGAGTCCAGGCAATGCCATCTTCCATGCTCAACCCTCTTAGGTTTTTTTTTACCATGAAAAATCTGTCAAGAAGAAAAGGCAGACTAGCTGCGTAATACCATCTAATGACTAGCAATGAGGGACTTCCTATAACCAGGTCATTAGAAATGTCACCCTTTCCTCTTCAAAATTACTGTTACTCGTTTCTGTGCTTGAGGGGTGTGGGGTTGACCTCCAGAGTAGAGCTGAACCCCTTCTCTCCCACCTCGTAGCATGAACTCTTGTTGTGCACTTGCTCCAGCAGGATGTTTTAATAGCAAAAATGGAAGGAGGTCACACATTACTATGCAGAGAACCTTTCTTGTGCATTTTGTTGTGCTGTCCAATCCATGCTGATATAATGCTGTGGGAAAGGCAGCCACCCCCATCCCAGCTCAGGAAGTGGAATATGGAAAATAATAGTTCTGTGCCCACAAAATTGCAAAGGTCAGATTAATTCCCTGTGATGTGATGACTCAGGATAGTACGTACATCATATCAGCTAGTATGCTTCATTTCTTTCAAAAGTGAGGCAACTAATGCAAACTACCTATGGACGAAAACATTGCTTCTTGTAGCTGAACTAAATTAGGGCCTGCCATATCCAAGCAAATGAAAGCCTTTTGTACCACTATGATCCTTAACAGAAGAGAATCTCACAAGAGCTTCTGCTACTTTAGTTTCGCCTTTATTCCAGACAGTGAAGACTTCAGGTCTTTGAGGGTCCTAGTGCAAGACATCCACAATGGCTCCCCCCATCAATACTGGCTCCCTCCATCACCTTTTCAACACTGACGGTTCCTCTTGTTCTTCCTCATTACCATTAGTTGCTTGCCCAGAAGCAGGAAGCCAGTTAGCTAGCACACAGTGGCATCTCCTGCTCCTCCATCTCACCACCGCCACTGTCTGGGCCAGAGTGAGAGGCAAGTGGGCAGTTTGCAGCAGTGGAGAAGCAACTCCAGAGAGCTTTGGTCAGAGGGCTCCTGCTAAGTGGTGGGTCTCAGCAAGTGACCATTGATGTCAACCCATGATGCCCACTGTACTTCCAGACCTTAGAGTCTATTCCATCTGGCCCTTCTACCAGCCTCAGAGCCATCTACCATTGCCTGCTCTGTGGTAAATATTGCAGAGGAGAGAGTAAGAGGAGGCAGGCAAATAGGCCCTCAAGCTGTAGAAAACGCTAGAGGACCATTGTGATGGCAAGAGATGAAGTGTTAGCTATTTTCTCCTCATATCTGGGCCTTCTCTGTTTAGCCATTCTTGTCTGTATTCCTCTCCATCAGGGCCTGGGTTTGCTGTCTGTTGCTATGTGCCATCTCACCATCTGATGTCTGATAGCAATGAACTTACAATGTTTTCAGTTTTCCATGATAAACCTGTTAATTAATTTTGTTTGGGGATAGTCTGGAGTTTAATCTAAATGTCAGCTGAGACCTAGGAAAATCACCCAGCTCTCTGTGTGCCATGCTGCAGTTGCTGTTACTCATCGGTTGGATGGGGTCGCAATAGGTACTGTCTGGGAACCAGGTGACCCTGGGCAGTATCTCAGCCAACTTGAAAGTGTTGCTCACTGCCAGATGGGCCCAGTCAACGCCAACTGCCTGATGCAGGAATGTGCAAGATGCATATACAGTTAGCTTTTAAGATTCTTTCCTAGTTCTTTCCTATGTGCAAAACACATTAATCTTACATAGTTTAATGACAGCAGGTGTGAGGATGATTAATGCCAAAAAGCCCTATATAAGGTTAGGGAATCATCCTAAGAGCAAAACCTTGATACAGACCTAGTTGCAGAAGATGCTTCAAGCTGGCCCATTGTCTATCAGCTGGATGTGTGTGTGTGTGTGTGTGTGTGTGTGTGTGTGTGTGTGTGTGTGTGTTTCAGGGTTTCCTGACAACAGAAGGGACGTAAGTGTTGTGCTCAGTACTTACCTTGTCTTTATAATCTCTTTTCTACAGTCTGTTGATAAAACTCTATAGCCTTACTCACAGGAGTGTTTGCTTTCTCTGGATCCATAAAGCAGCTGCTGCCTCTAGCAGAACACCTCTGTGCACTGCATTTCTCTCTTCTTGCGGCACAAGGCTCTTCACTCTCAACTGCCCTGGGGAAAGATTCTAGAAGAGAAGGAGGTACATATGGATGACACCAGAACCTTGCTCCTGTGTCTGTCGGAAGGATACTGATTTTTTTTTTAAATTGATCATACTGTTTATTGTGATTTGATAACTTTTTCATTATTTGTAAGGCACCTTGGTAGGATTTATATCCCAAAAGGATTTTACATAAACAATTGCACTGAATAAATAAACAATAAATAAAATATAGCTCACCCAGGTATTTCATTTGTGCCAATCTGTTTCAACAGCAGAAAGCTAGAAAATATAGAATAATTACTAAGATGGGTGCCTCTGAGCATGTGTAGTGTGGCTTTCTTTTGCTCCCAAGCAAACACAGCATTTTCCCACTACAGACTTGGTGATGACAATGTAATCTTAATCCTGGTGTATATGAGGAGATTTTGACAGAAGCCAACTTCGGAATAACATTTTAACGAAGTGCAACATCAAAAGATCTTGTCCTCTTTCCATTTCATGTTCATGAGGACTAGGAAGTGCAGTGAGATCCATTCTATTTCTGTGCGTTGCACCCTGCTGAACTCTCCCACCACCAGAGCACTCTGGGCAAGAGTTTTGAAGAACACCCAAGGAAATGGCTTATCATATAAAAATAGTAATCAACCATATGAATTTTAAAATAATATACCTATTGTTGCAGCTTGAACTACTGTGGTTATGTGCCGTCAAATGGTCTCCGGCTTATGGTGCCCCTGTGTGTGAATGCCCTCTGAAGTGCCTGGCCTTGACAGCCCTGCTCAGCTCTTGGCTGCGGCTTCCTTCATGGGATCAAGCCACCTCATAGCTGCCCTTCATCTTCTCATCTCCATAGCATGATTGTCTTCTCCACTTGTCTTCTCATGGGCTGCCCAAAGTACAACTACTTCAGTTTCATCATTTCAGCTTCCAAGGAAAGTTCCGGCTTGATTTGAACTATTTTTTCAATGTCTATCCTGCCTTTTCCTACAAAGGGCTCAAGGCAGCTTACATCCTTCTCCTCCTCCATCTTATCCCCACAACAACAACCCTGTGAGGTAGGTTGGGCTGAGAGTCTGTGACTGGCCCAAAGTCACCCAGTTGGCTCCATGGCTGAGCGGGGACTCGAACCC